TTTTTTGCAGTATTTCACGTCACCCAAATGAAATAAAGCGGAGAAAAATCTATCGGACTTTTCATTTACTCCTGTTGAGCCGCACAGTTGTGTCACACTCTGTAATATTCAAAGTCAATTTTCACTGCCACTTTATTACACTGTTGGGCGCCAGTTTATCATGTTTATCTCTTGACTGGCGCAATGATTTCTAATATTCGGACGCCAGTTTGTCAGGAAGAGATTAGGTCTGACTGGCCCGATAATATATAATTATATCAATGTTCAGTATTAATTAATAACCAGATGATCTTCTTCGGTTTATTTGAGTTGAGGGTCCAAGGGATTTTATCTAGGGTCCGAATAAGCGGCAGGTTGATTGAGTGGCGAGTTCCTTAGTTATATATTTACGAACTATATAGAAATACAAGGAAGCTTGATGGTTAGTACACAAGGTAGTTTTAGCTGGTTACTCTAACGACGGAGGCTACTCGACGCCGGAGTCTGGCGTGGTCCTGCGGACTACATGATGATGGCTTACTACGTCTCGCCTGTGACTGCCTATAAGACTGACTGAAGTTCTGCTCGGGGAGCTTATATAGGCATACTATAGTGACGTCGCGGAAGTGACGCAGTAACTGCTAACACAAGTGAGGGAGTTACGGTAGACAGCCTGACATAATTTTAGTTTTATGTAGCGAGATCCGCTACATGGGGATCTGCCAGTGGCGGTTACCTCGGCACAAACCATCACCGACATGGGATTTTGACGTCGTGTTGCTGTTCTGTTTGCCACAGATCCATCCCGACTCCAAACTCTGTCATTTTGACGGTTAACACTTTGTTCAATGTCAAATTTTTTCTCGTCACTGAACATCAAGTTGGGCAGCGTGCCATCCACAATGAGATCCAGAATGTGCTGGCATCTTTCGAGCCTCATATTCGTCCATGACGGTCTGTTAGTTCATGCCTTGTTTGCATCTTGTAAGGGGAGGTTTTGAGGTCATCTTTGAGGACTCTACGCATTGATGTGTGACTGACTCCTGCTTCTGCAGCCAATTTTGCAGCTAAGCGACGAGGGTTTCTCGTCATGTTCCCACTCATGTTTTTGACCAATTGTTTTGTTTGGACACTTCGTTTCCTTCCTTAACCAGGTCGATTGCATGTTTCACCAGTTTCCTTGAATATTTTTTTTACCACCTTCCACACAGTTTCACGACTAATTTGGAGCTTTTTTGCAATGACTGAATTGTTCTCGCCTTTTTCATGAAGGGTTACAATTGCCATAATAGTAAATTTACTACTGCCATAAGTAATAGTAAATTTAGACATCTTAGGATTCTGCAATATAAATAGATGAATAGATAGATGATATTAAGCTTCATTATAAAAGAAAAGTCTCCTAGAAACCAATTTATTTTATATAGCCAACAGTCGTTGCCATAAATATGGTGGACCCTGTATATATAAGAATACGAAGAAGCCTGTAACTATACAGTGCAACTAATTACTATACAGTGCAGCTAATAACTATACAGTTATGCATAGTTATAGTAGGTAGGGGAGGGGGCACACGTACCGTGCACTGACACTGCCATCAGCCTACATCAATATATTACTCCTCAACCCTCCCCTTCCCTACTCATCCTCTCAACCCTTGTCCTCAGTTCCACAAGGCTTGCTGTTGTCTCGAGTCTACACGCAGTTCTGCTTTGGTAGCGTAGCACGGACTTCGAAAGTCCGTGAATGCGACTGTAAAATACAATTTGTAATTAGAATTTGTTCATAAGTCTTTATTGCTCAACTTTTGACGGAATTTTACAGCGCACAGTATATACCGTACCACATCCCTTGGTATCGGTGTTGAGGCAACGATAACCGGCTGAGATAACAACATAGAAGACGATAGAGGTAGGGGAGGACAATGTCAGAACAATGGGGAGGTAGGGAGGGAATTGGGTTGAGCCTCATGGGGTTGAGCCCAGGAGGCAAATTCCTCAACTCTCTCATTTTATTTGCCCGTTCCTTCCTCCCCCTCTGTTTTGGGGGAATAAGCACGGCCAGTTGGGCCTAGCTAAGAACAGAGAAAGCTCTCAGCTACCTCCCAAAATAACCATGCATGTGATTACTTTCTAGAAATTATTCGATAAGTGAACTGATCAATGTCACGAATGTTATTAAATGATTTTATTTACTTACACCATAGTTTTATGGCTTTCTTCAATGTTCGAACGTATTTTTGAGCCACCCATTATTTGAGTAAGAAACTAAATGATCGTAGATGCAAATAATCATGAACAGTCTGAATGATCAGAATAGACCGGTGGCCACTGTTCGCAGGGCACTGAATTTCTCCTGTCGGCAGCGAACGGTTTATGTATTAGTGAAAAATAAGCCGCTGTCTGCAGTGAAGATGAGAAATTTTGCGGTAACTTGGGATGTGTATTTAAATAGTAATGAAAATGAATGCCACGACGTAACTTAAAAAATCCATGCACAATTATTAGTGCAGTTCGTACCTCCTATTCTCGTGCACCCTCGGCCACGTCACTACCCTGCCAGACGCTGCCGCTGAAATTTAACCTCAGTTCCCCCGTGTGCCGAGTTTAGAGTTGAAGCGTCCGTGAACGGCCCTCTTAAGACTACTTTCGCCTAGGTATAAATCTGAATAATTTAAAAAGTGCCTTAAATTGCTCAGTCGTTGTCGACTAACGTTCAGAGGAATTACCATTAAGACTAATATAAGTTCTGCCTTCTGATGCCACTCTGTTTTGCAGAGCACGTCATGTGAAGATGGACTCAATATAAGAAGTACAGTAAGTTTGTTTTTCATAGACCCATACTGCGAGTGTCTGGGAAAGACACTCGTAGGACAGCCGTTTCTAAAATAGAATTTCAGAATTTGTATGACATTCTAATTATAATTAAAACAGTGGCATAAATAGGAGTACTTTCGAGTTGAATTCAAATCGTTATGAATACTATGTCTATTTGAGAAACGGCTGAACTAACACTCGTGAAATTATAACAGACTTATTGCCGCTTCAAAGTGAATAAATTTTCTAAGTTTGGGAGAACTTACGAGTTGAATTTAAAAAGTTATGAATACTAATTCTATTCTAGAAACGGCTGAACTGGTACTGGTGAAATTATAACAGACATTTTGTCTCTTTAAAATTAATAAATTTCTAGCTTTGGGAGAATTTTCGAGTTGAATATAAGAAGTTATGAATGCAGAATACTAATGGTATACCGAAACATAGTCGTAAGTAGCAGGAGGCCCCTCGTTTGTATACATCATTGAAGTCTCAGGCGAATTATCGCCGATGTTCGCAGAACGGCCTGTCCATCACCTCTCGTCCAATTACTGGGCTATATTATTCATGACTCTGTGCTTAATTATCCCCTGCAATCACCATCAAGTTAGGCCATCACCGAACTCATCCTCAGGCCAAACGATTTACATTCTCACTAAATATTCTTCGTATTATAACAGACTTTTTGCCGCTTCAAAGTGAATAAATTTTCTAAGTTTGGGAGAACTTACGAGTTGAATTTAAAAAGAACAGACTAGATAAAGCTATGGAAAAATATATGTTCAGATTTGAAATGCCTAGCTCGGAGCTCCTTATCGAACCCGGTGGAAGTCTAGTAGCTTCTTCAAACTATCGCCAGTCATGAAAAGATCCGGTCAAATGACACGAGTTTAGATCTATGAACAAGGCACGAAATGGAAAAGAATCGGCGACAGGCCACATCAGGCCCACACTTCAGAGCCGACATCACTATGTTATGTTATTTATACGTGAGGATTTTGACTGAAAATACACCCTCGCATAGTTTCGTGTCTGCTTGCTAGTCCCATTGGCGGGGCAAGGACGGTAATTGAAGTTGCGGGACACCATCAATAAGATTACTTTCACTTAATAGCAAACATCTGGGCGGCTTGCTGCAGAAATCTGAGAATGTTACGTTACGTGTTACTTCAATCGTCAACTGCTGATTATATAAGAATGTATATGCACAATCATGAATTAATTCATATCTTATTTGATGGCCAACTTTAAGGTGATAAAAACTGATAATAACGACATACACATATATGCAACACATTTATTGATGAAAATCCAATTTGAAGGCTTGACCAGAAACTGAAAAATTGATGGTTTAGAATTCTTGTCGAGGCTTAGCTCAGTTACATGGAATGCATGGCGGGCACAACATAACAACGTTAGTAATGCTGTTCTTGTACTGCTCACCAGCGGCCATTGGATAGGAGCTGTTGATTACTCCTTCATCGCCGTGCGAATAAAATGATTTGTATAATTGAGTCCACCAACTGGACGATTAATTTTAGAATGACAATATTTATAAACCTTTGCATTTTTCCGTTAAGATAATGAACACACTAATAAACACACATAACACGGGACGCCCCACCCATTGTCAACACCACCAGAAACTTCACTGCTTCACGTATTGAATGCTATAATTTCATTCTACCGATCTGTTATTATTATTATTTTTTTTAGAGTCTTTTTCATATATAAAAGAGTCATTTTCTGAACACTTTCACACTGAACAATTTATACTCTTTTTTACTGACTTCCCTTATTTTCCGCCGAAACACTGGATCTGTTACATTGCATCTGTTACATTGCAATCATCGGTCACTATTTGAGGAGAAATTAACTCAATTTGATATTTACAGAGTAAAATTTTGTATGGGATTCGATAGCGAGCAACGAACGTAATCATCGCCTCGACAGTAGTTTTTTGACTAGAATTACATGACAACCAAACCTTTGAAAATTTGGGAAGGATTCACAAATGACACTCAAACACGGAAAAACAAAACAACACTCGTGAGTGGCATCAACACTTCACGCAGCTAAAGTAACAACACTCGTGCGTGGCATCACCACTTCACGCAGCTAAAGTAACACACTCGTGCGTGGCATCACCACTTCACGCAGCTAAAGTAACAACATTCGTGAAACAGCACTCGTGCGTGGCATCACCACTTCACACAGCTAAAGTAACAGCACTCGTGCGTGGCATCACCACTTCACGCAGCTAAAGTAACACACTCGTGCGTGGCATTACCACTTCACGGAGCTAAAGTAACACACTCGTGCGTGGCATCACCACTTCACACAGCTAAAGTAACACACTCGTGTCTAGCGTCTCTTCTTCATATTCTTTCAGCCACTTTAGGGTGCGGTATAACATCAATAATGAGTCTCCGAATTTTCATTTACTTGATTACAGATCGAAAAATTTCCTTGGTTAGTCGAGCGTATATAAGCAGCAGTGACTGGCTCCTCCGAGCGTTAGTTAGGTAGAAAAACATATAATGAAGAATTTTCGTCAAATTCTCGTTTGATTAAGACATCACACCTTTTAGGTCTTCATTTGGTTAGTTCTTGTATTTTTAATGGTTTCTCATTGGGCTCACGATTGACACTTTTTGGCTCATCCCTTCGTCTCTGGATAACTTACTAGTGTCAGGTAGTCGAGTTTCGATGATACCCCGTACTCGCATTATCAAAACTTTCTCTCAATAATTTCAAACTTTAATCCAACTCATCTTGAACAAATGGTTTTGTTTCAAGAAAATAATTAAAACGTGATGGTACAGAAACGCGTCTCAATTATTTCTCTGATATAAGCCTATTTAAAAATGAGTTGGCATATGAAATTTATGAAGTTGAAATCGCCAATCTCTAGACCCCAACGATAGATGTGAACGTAGCAATGAATACGAGTAGAGCTCCAAGGGCAACACTAACAAAAGAAAGACTGGATAATGATTATTAATCATTATCCATTTAACTGAAAATTGAATCCCGCCTTGAAAGTCTTCGCCGTCGCAGAGCCTCGCAGAGTGATGGTTATAACGTTGCCGCCTCCGTTCTGTGTAAACAAGGCATATTTAGTCATCTTGAGAGCGGCACAGACGAATTTTTACGAGTGACTTCTGTACAAATGTTACTTATTACATAGTATATAGCGACGCAGTAGCTGACATCAGAAGAAACTGGCATCCCAATGCAATGCGAGGAAAGGGAAATAGTGAAATACGTTATAAAGTGACTCATGTTAGTGTGACTCTAACGTTTGCAGTCTTGGAAAAATAATTTCACATTTACGAAGTTGGCGCAAATCAATTGAATTAATAATTACAAATAAATATATAAATGTATTATTAAAAAATGATCAGATATCTATGGTCTGAAACATCCGAACATCAGTTATTGAAACAAACACTAAATTAATCCCAGCTACTGACCAATTTATCGATGCAAAAATCAGAATCTTGTTGCGTCATGCCGATAGGACCGTAGGTAACTTTCGCCGTGTAGCCGTCGCAGGAACCGTCATTGCCAGTTAAAAAGCCGGTATAAACAAAAAGTTTGGCAGAAATGACACTCTTGAACGTGGCTGTGCAGTTGTAGGTCGGACCGTCGGGGAATGGCTTGCACCCAAAGCCAGGGTGTGAGAACACCGCCCACCCAAGTTGAGAAGGGGTCAGGTCGAGGTCAATTGTGTTGCCGCATTCATTTACTGTGGAAATATGCTTTTGAGAAAATTGTGATTCAATTGAAAATAAAACATTTAAGTGAGTATAGATCAATAAAATTTAACTGGATACCATTTTAAATTTACTGAACATGAACCAAGATCTGCGATGTTAATGCAAACATGAAGACGACGTTCACATTCAACAGCAATTTCACATTAGTGAGACGGTTGACACAGGCCCCCTGATGACGGTGATTCAAATTTTCATAATCAATTGTGGTGACAGAGGTAACAAAAATAATAGTGATAGCTACTGCACAATCAAGTTAGATCTTTCTAGTTGATTACCATTTAGGACGTTTCATCGGTCGTCTATTTTGCAGCAATAAAATGAGTGTTGGTTTGGCTGTATAGGAATAAGTTTTTCTTTTTTGCATGTTTTGTTGAAGGCCAGAGAGTGATTTTTATCAATATTTTTAATATTGTGTTTCTCAATGGGTATTAAAAACAGTTCTTTAAAAACAGTTCCCGCCACATCTGATGGGATTATAAAGTTTCAATATAAGCTTTACAATTGATGTTTTATAATACTATTACGACTTTAAAAAACGTAATCATTATATATCAATGAGACTTTAATCCGTACAAACATTAGAATTGCCAATTATTGGCATAACGGGCAAATCTCTAAAATCACAACCTAAAATTAAACTGAAAGTAATTACATTGTCCTGACAAATGTCCGGTAGTATGCAAATTGATGATAGCATGGCCATGGGTCTTTTCCTTAATTGCTGCTGAAGGCTCTAGATATCACTAGTCTTGTAACGTCGGGCGTCAGTATCAAGGCTCCCAGCCAATAATTTGAGAAAAACTTAGATAATTTGAGAAAAACCCAGACAACAAATTTCATCAAAAATTTTGTAATTTTACTTACTTCTAATGGAATTATAAATCTTCGGCTGCTGCTTAATTTGGTATTTTGTGAGTCTCTGTCTTGGTTACCTCTTAGATGAGCGCAAAATCCCTATTTCTCTTGCTACTCCGCGAAAAATAGAAGTTATATATATATATAATATTCTTTAAAAATAATTCGAGATAGGATGGCAACATTTTCACAGCGTGACTTGCGCAAAGAGCAAAAGAATGGCATACGCAACCCATAACAAAAACTGATGGAATGTCTTTCTTAACTAGGGTTTGAAAGCCACTCCTGTTACCACCACAGTGGAACAATTATCGCTTTCATATCCTATGATGTTTGAAAAATGAATTTTTTTCTCATTCAGAGTCGTTTTAACAGCGTTGTATAAACCACTGGCTCTTCCATCTTCAACAACAATCGAGTCAAGCAAACCATCACATATATCATTTTTTCAACATAAAAAATTTAAATATCTAACTACAACAGCTAATACCTGTGAAATGGATATCATATGTCTGTGCTCTCATCGCTTATCAGACATTCAGACTGAACGTTTCATTTCTACACTGATCAACAACTTCCCATTTTTTCATAAGCAATTCCTTCCTGAATAACATATGAAGCTTTTGTTGCGTGAAGTTTTACATTTTTACAAATTCTGCTATCATGAAATGCTCACTTCCACTAGATGATCTGCATGCGCTAATGGACCATTGTGTTCAGCAATAGAAGCAGATACTGTACAAGTAGTTCTGCATCAGACTGAACGTTTCATTTCTACACTGATCAACAACTTCCCATTTTTTCATAAGCAATTCCTTCCTGAATAACATATGAAGCTTTTGTTGCGTGAAGTTTTACATTTTTACAAATTCTGCTATCATGAAATGCTCACTTCCACTAGATGATCTGCATGCGCTAATGGACCATTGTGTTCAGCAATAGAAGCAGATCAAAGTAGTTCTGCCTTTGCCACTTCCTCATCAGTGTCCTCTCCTTAGGAATCTGTTTCTTAATAAATGAATTAATTTTAGTGGCTGTTTTAGCTTCTTTCATGTCGAGGTGCTTCGCAGTCTTACAATGTGCCATCAACTTGGATCTATTAACATTTCTGAGTTGAGTTTTACAACATGCGCAATAGGAAACACCTTTTTCTTTTGAATTTTCTTGCAGCCACTCCTTAAAGTCTTTTTCATGTAACCACTCTTGTTTAAAAGACTGTTTGTACCACTTTTTAGCTACTTTTCTTGGGGGACTCGCCTTTCGGGGCTTTCACTGTTCACTATATGTTAATTTAACAGCACCGATAGGTACAAAAGCGACAGTAAGCAACCTAATTACGCACGTCACGACTATAACTTGTCACTTGACGATCACAGTACTGTACAGTGTGCGCTGAGAAGTTGGGAACCTTTGCTTTGACTGGTAACGAACGCGTTCAATACTGGTAACGAAAGCGTTCAATGCCACTGCCGTCTGTCAGCTAGGTAAAATATACAGTCCGACGGTTAGTGCGCCACTACATTTGTTTTGTGTTGGTGACAAAAGTAGCCCCGGTAACTGTTGCCCTGTCAGTCTGACAAATGTTGTTTGTAAGGTAATGGAATCTGTTGTGAGGAAAAGGATTATCGATCACTTGACTGTTCACCATCTTCTATCTGATTGTCAACATGGTTTTATTGCCGGTAGATCCTGCACCACTAACTAATTTTCTACGTTGAACGATTGGACACGCCTGCTAGACGAAAGGGAGCCAGTGTATGCATTGTACCTCGATTTTGCCAAAGCATTTGACAGTGTTCCGCATGAGCGGCTGTTGCGTAAAGTGAAGTTTTTGGGAATTGAGAGAAACGTACTCTAATGGATCAGAGATTTTCTAGTAGGTAGGTGACAACGTGTCAGTATTAACAGAACCGTGTCGGGGGCATTAGTGCGCAGTGGCGTGCCACAAGTAAGCGTTCGTGGGCCTATTTTGTTCGTTACTTTTATAAACGATCTGCCAGAAGTAATGTCCAGCGTGTGCTCCATGTATGCCGACGACACAAAAGTTTATAATACAGTGAAGGATGCGTCAAATAAAGCGCAATTGCAAGATGATCTTCACAGTTTAGTTAACTGGGCTGATACGTGGCAGCTGCGGTTTAATGCTGACAAGTGTTAAGTACTTCACCTCGGGAAGAACAATGAACAGCAAGATTACAGTATATGAAGAAATGGTAGCAACGAGAGAGTATTGATTGAAAAGTCTAGTGTGGAAAAAGATCTCGGAGTTCATGTCGACAAGGAGCTGAAACTTTGTAAGCATGTTGAAACGCAAACTAATACATCCAACAAAGTTATTGGACTAATCAGACGCGCTCACGAGTTCCTAGATACCGAAGCGATGAAGCAGTTGTTTGTTTCTGTTGTGCGCCCGAGTCTAGAGTTTGGAAACGTTGTGTGGTCACCGATATTTGAAAAGGACAAAAATTTAATAGAGAATGTTCAAAGACGTGCAACAAGGATAATTCCAGGCTTGAAGGGCAAGTCCTATAAAGGAAGATTAAAGATTATGAAGCTTCCAAGCCTCAGTTATCGACGTCTGCGTGAGACCTCATTGAAGTATACATGTATATTCATGGTTTATACAAGGTCCCCGAAGGATTACTAAAGTTTGAAACAAGAACCAACACCAGGGGCCACGGCTATAAACTAAAAAAACTGCGCTGCAACTTATCCATGCGAAAACATTTCTTCTCGCTTCGAATCACCGACATGTGGAACAGCCTCCCCGATGACATCGTTGGCGCTCCAAGTATGAACGCGTTCAGGAACAAACTAGATAAAGCTATGGAAAAATATATGTTCAGACTTGAAATGTCTAGCACCATATCGAACCCGGTGGAAGTCTAGTAGCTATTTCAAACTATCGTTAGTCCTGAAAAGATCAGGTCAAATGACACGATTTTTGATCTTCTGTGAACAAGTCACGAAAAGTACAAGAATCGGCGACAGGCCAAGTCAGGCCTACTCTTCAGCGCCGACATCACTATGTTATGTTATATTGTTCCTCTTAATAAAATTCATCGAAGCCTCAGAAAACTGCACTCGATATCAGGAAGATCTCGAGCGGTATTATTGCATCGGGCTAATATTTATTTAGAGCGAGCAAATGTTATTATTATTAAATCCCCGCATCTTAGTCCCCCCCAGTTCACCCTTTTCCCAATCTGCGCCCCAAAACAATTGATATCTTTCATTCTATCAGATCCTGTATAAGAATAATATAACTATATAATAATTAAACGTAGGTAGTCACCATGCTACTTCATATCGATAAGCTCGGTTAGCACGTTCACTGCCACTGTTTAAGGAGTACAAACATCCTATAAGAGCGCTGTTAAGTGTTAGTATGGCATCTTTGACAAGCTAATTGAAATGCGCTGATGCCGTTCGTAGATGCTTCCCAGATGAATCACAACTCCAGGTTTCTTGAATGAAAAATCTATGGAGTTTTTGGTAACGAATGCTGTGCTTTTCAGCAGTGGTAGGCACAGTCCGCTAATCCGCTAACCGCCAATTTAGAGAAGCTGGCGTCTTCCTTAACCGGTGTGCCACACTGATGGCTGACTACGTCAACATATGTACGTCAACTAATCACGTCTTGTGTAACCTATCACGTCTTTTGTTACAAAAGACGTGATTGGTTGACGTACATATGTTGACGTAGTCAGCCTGTCAGCCATCAGTGTGGCACACCGGCTAAGGAAAACGACAGCTTCGCAAATTAGCGGTTAGCGGATTAGCGGACTGTGCCCACCATTGTGCTTTTGTGAGTTCTACTTGTGGCAGCTAAAATACCGCTGCAATGAATCAGTCCCTAACTTGTACTCATATACGTAACTAGTGCTCACGGAAGTAGTAAGTTGGCACAGTAATGCGGAAAAGGACGGGTAAACCGCATGTAGTGTCGGTAACGCACGAAGCCACGTCCAGATTGTAGACCATAATACCATTATAGCTGCCATCTTCTTGAGGAAAGAGGTAAGCCGAGTTGAAGACAGTGCTAACTGCAACGAACCGAAAATATATTTATTATGTTCCGAACAACTATGATGCAAAATTATTATGTTCCGAACAACTATGCAATTCCGGCAATTATGTTCCAATCAACTATGATGCAAAAGCTGTCTTAAACAGCAGGTTTGTAATCATGTAGTAAGATACGGTAAGATATTTTTGCAAAAAAATTGAATATTTCAGAGGAACACAATTGCGTTGAACGAGTATATGTCATCATAGGCCTCTTAAAAATATTTTCAGTACCTAAAAACAGCGTAAAAGGCTATGTAATTATTTCCAATTTAAGGAAGTGAACTGTGATTCTTATTACTGAAAACCGTAATAACTTACGACGTTCGGGAGGAACCATTAATTTCGAGGAGACAACCGAGAGCAACTGCTGTTGGAGCTGGTATTGCTTGAACACGACATTATTTACAGTTGTGTTGACGTAGGGAGCAACGCCTGTTCAAATGTACCCAAATTAACTATTACAGTTTACCATCTGCGTGATGAGACATGAAATCATATTCTATATTCATTCTAATTCTGCACTGAGCAAGCTTGGACTTGCTATAACTCTATTAGCAGAGGAAGCAAGCCCTGAAAGTCACACACACACTCACCCAAGTCGGCACTCAGCCACTCGCGAACACTGCCAACATTGAACATTCTTCAGCCACAACACTATCACACATCTTGCTTAATGTTCCCTGTGTGGGTTAGATTCGTGAATAATTGTGTAAGTGATGTCACAAAATAAAGATATGATACCAATAATAAATAGAACCGGACATGATCTTTACATATGCATTATACGTCGAATGGAGTTCAGTGTTTTCTAATAGAGCATCGTTGTTAAACATGAAAAAGCTGGAATTCCATGATTGAACATGAATTATCCAACAATGTTATTTCCTAAATTATCATCTATCTTTAAAATAGCAGAAAAATTTGTTAAATCAACAAATAACGATTTATTTTTGCAATTGAGCAAGTAACAAGCGACAATGTTACAGGTCATGCAGTCAATTACTCCAGAGACTCACTCAGAGGTACAGTTGATATAGACCCGTTGGAAATACTGGCGTTCGTCAAGTAAACGACTTTCTCGCCCTTAAGACAGGGGCAAAGTTTGCCGCGAAATTTGTAAGCTGTGCAGTTTCCTTCGAAAGAAAATGCGTCCATTCCTGAAAAATGAAGTTTATTTTTTAGGTAAAATTTTTATGGTGAATTTAAGTTTTTGATTGATTCCATCAAGGCTAAACAAGTCGTTCCAGGAAGCCATGGTGAAACTGAAAATTGCTTAAGCTTCCTAAACACAAAATTGTTCACAGCTCACGCGATTAAATTTATACCAGCCTTCTACAAGTCGTAACGCTCAAGTTGCGAGAAATCCAACAGACAACTCTAAAGTGTAGAGGAAAATTACCATGCAATGAAAATAAAAAATTATATGTCTGTACTAATCGAGGACAAAATTAAAGCGAAGAATGATGATGGTTTGAGGAAGAAGCTGAGCTTCAGTCTAAGGGGGGACATATCAAGTCACGAAAAATTCAAGAATCGGCAACAGTCCATGGGCCTATTTCTTTAGTGCCGACACCTCTATTCTATTCTATATTGAACCTGTTTGTGTTTTCGGGGGACGTTTCTTTGCTAAGATCTGATATTGAACATTTATTAAAAACTATGAATATTTTTCTTGCTATTGGTGTATAAATTATTAATTTTGAATTCCTATTTAAATAAATACGAATTTATTAAATTGGGCCCCTCATTTAGAATAACCTTGCGTTATGTTAAGTATTTAAACCATAGCGCCAGACGTCCGCAGCCTCTGCTCAAGATATTACAGTCTTAATGGATTTGCAACCCCCAGCATTGATCATATCAGTACTGCAGAATGACGACGACAATACTAAGAATGACACAGTTTCGTATAACACCCACGACTCATGACGTTGACCGTGATCCGGGTTAAAAATTATTAGAGAACATAGTAAAAATCTTGTACACCTGTACAAGTTGCCGACCATTTCAAACCAATCGAAATATTTAGGAGGTCCAGAGATCCAGACCCAATCCCTGCCGCCCTCATAACGATAGTATGCTGACAAACTGAGAAAGGATACGGACTGAAATTCTAGGTGAAATATATCGGCACAAGCAAAATAGTTGCTTGTTTGACATCAATCCATAATCAACTTCATCCCTCACAATACTTTCTTAGCCATGGACAGATACACCATCACAACATCCCCTAAAAAAATGTAACGCCCAAGATTCTACGCAGGACTCCGCTGCTACCGGCCTCAAATCATAAAGATCCCACCCTCGTCGGCCATCTCACGCAGCACGCCAATCTTGTGACGCGCTCTCAGTGGGAAGAGCCCCCCGATGTTGGCCAGCACAATGCCAGACTCTTCCCTTATTGGTGCGCTTACCTGCGTCTCCACCACTCTGCCTGGCGCCCCTGGCCCAGCAGCTCCTGCATCTGGTGTTGAATCATTTCCAGCTGATGCCTCATTTCTAAAAAAGCGACGTAGGTAATCTCTGGCTCCCCACGTGCGTCCCTGTCCCATACGCTTGGGCCACTCCCTGGAGTAGCTAGGTCATCCCTCCTTCTCCAAGAACTACCCTCCTCACCGCTCCTTCTACCAGTGTTTCCCGCAACCCTATCACTGCCCTGTCTTCCCTGTGATGGTGGGGACTGTGAGGGTGAGGGAGTGGGCTGGCGTCCAGCGGGAGCCCTTCTTTGTGGGGGTGAATCATTGTTGCCACCTCTCCTGCCGGCTTCCTCCATTCGCTTCCGCGATTTTATGTGAAGAAACCTGCAGTTTTCATACGTGCAATCTTCTTTCTGCATAACACTCCAGCACAACTTAGGGTGATGGAACGCGCAGTCCTTTCCTTTTTTGCACCCTCGTGGGTGCCCGCTTCCGTAGGTACAAATGACAGCCCATGACATCGTTTTGCTTTAAATATTAGGAGCTTTACTCCACCATATTGTGCAGCGAATAGCCCAAGGCGTAATGATCGCCCACCACTGAACGTTGCATCTAATCATCACTTCATACCCTGACTTGAGCTCGAACTGCAACTAGCGGACAACGGACTGCGATCAATCAGCCCAGCTCGCCTGTGGAACTGCATGAATCCTACCGTGTACCACCAGACGGTTACTTTTAGCTCACAGCATCTGGCGATAGGTTTCAGATAGCATAGTTCTGTTCCAAAAATTTATTGTCCTACGACGAGTGGCCGTTCGACCGTTCCGACTAGGCTGTTTGCCCACTACCCTGGACTAGTGGACGGGTCGGTGGCGGGCATCATAATCACTGCAAGGCTCCGGCGCGCTCCGTCTGGTGGTGGGGGGGAGGCTGATCCGACAAACGGGTGATGGGACCTGATGTGGACGGGTCGGTGGCGGGCATCATAATCACTGCAAGGCTCCGGCGCGCTCCGTCTGGGTGGTGTATAATTTTTTTTTTCGCGCATTAGTAGACTATGCTGGGCCAACTACGCTAGGCTACATTCCTGTGGGCTGATTGATCTAATTCAATGGATGTGATGTCTGATGGCGTGCGGGTGATATTGTCACACTCAAGAAGTGTTAAAGGCTACGTTCGTGAGGGAATGGATCATGAAATGGCAATAATGGTCTCTGACAGGCCTCCCAAGTATGGCCCGCTCCAAGACGCCAGCAATTTTTTATTGTAGTCTGGGAGGAGAAGACCTTCGTCATCCACGGAGAAGGAACGCAGTTGGAATTTTATATCGAAATAACTTATGTACTTCGTGCGCGTTGAGGAAGAAGTTTTCGGCAGCAAGCTTAGCCGACTCTTCCAATTTAGGTTAGAGTTCTTTTACGTACTGACGCTAGGGAGTTGTCCACCCATATGCTAGAATAGGAACGAAGCCGTGCGCCACTCCGGACGGAAAAAGGGCCCCCTCACCGGCATATTCTATTACTATGCATTGGAAAAGGTATCGGTACAAATAAAAATTAGCTGAAACTCAGCATCAATTCCATTCCTAAATGAAGACAAATCTCCCCTTGTAGCAGCTTAGTGTTGATGCTTTCTTTCAGAGGCTGCCTCCCCCGCGCATGTTTTCTTAACTGCCTCGCTGCCTGCGAGGCCCACTATAGTGGCTTTGCTTTCTTTTGAAAGTTCTTTCAAGTTCTACAACAGAGTAATTTTGTTCAACGCTGTTCAACTTACGACTAATGAATGAAATAGTTTACACTTCACCCTGAATATGCTGACAATACAGCTCCAATACCGTAGTCGTATGCATCAGTTTGCAAGACGTAAGGACATCATTGGTTACGGAATTGCTATCGAATATACTATCGTGTCCTATAACACCATGCAGAACTATGATAATATATGGCATGATAACCATAAGGACAGTCAACTCTTCTCTCTCCTGTGCGACAAATGGAAGACGACAAATAGCACAATAGAGAGGGATCATAAATCTTGCTAAATATAATTAGGACTATCCTGGACAATATTTCTCAAAATACTGTCAATGGTGTTGTACCCTTATCATCAGAAATAAAAAAAAATGGTGAAACTTATGTCGGTTCAAGATTAAATATTTACACTGCGTACTTGTAAAATGTTTATTGAAAAAGGTAAAAGCGAAGTTGTGTAAAAAAATCTAACTGCAACTGTTGTGTGCTGTTGAATCTTCATCTTCTGTTAAGTCTTTAGCAGCACTGGCACCATGCATCGTCATCTTGTGAACGGGACGATTACCTACAGTACAAGGATTTGATTCATATCATAGTGACTATCATATCATTTTCATATGATAGGCGCACCAGCCCGGCCAGGATTTCCTTGCCAATGGGGCGTTTGCTGTTATAGACTCTTAAGAGCTATAACAAATACAGCTTATCGTTCACTGCATTAATGCGATTCCTCACCACGGTGCTGCTTGGCGAGGTGTACGGGTACTGTTTATTCGAGCACGCGTGCATGATGGGAGAGGAATCGCCGTGAGCGGAAGATGGGAGAGGGATCGCCGTGATCGGGATTTTTCACGTGATTTTAGTCTTAATGTGTTGATAGTCGAAATAAGACGTCCGATAATCCCCGTTTAACCACCCCCGAAGCCACACTCTGCCGCTGCTATCATCGATTTAGTCAACAATGTTCAATCCTCTCAGAAAAATCGCCGTTACTCGAGATGTGGTAGTGTAGGAAGGGCAGCATCATCATCATCTGGAAAATTGTTGACGAGTGCGTCTAGCAACTGCGCTTCCTAGGCACCGACCAAGGTTAACCAGTATGGAAATGCTCAGCAGTGATTGAACCACCTTCGAATGTACTGTTGAAATCCTTCAAAATGGGACAAGTTTCGTGCATATATTTCGACACTTTAGCCCTAAGCGTAAATAGGTAAAATATAAACAACAGTCTCCACATTCATTATGTATTCATAATGTCCTAGGACGACATGGATTCGAAAAGTTCTTAGGTATAAGATGCTACTAAATAATAACATTCGCTTACTAACACAAAAACAGTAGGTATACTTGTTATAAATAAAATGTATTTTTTTTCCGCGTTTTAACGTTTCATTAAATTGTGTTTTAATGTACATTTATGATCACAGTGGGGACAGTGGTGATAGCTGTCCACTTTATAATTGTTTGTGTCTGGGTGCCCACGGGGCGAGACCAGTTTTGCACCCTCTTCTGCCACGGGGGCCACCAGACCCTGCGGCGCCCCCTCCTCCCCCTCCCCCTCCTGGCCGTCCTCCTCGGCGGCTCGGCGGAGAACAGACGGATCTTTGGGAACTCTAGCTGCTGGATGCTAGAGGTCCCGGATTATAATATTATGCTGTTTTTTTAAATATGCTGGTGGGGAGGGATGGGCGGAATGGGCGGTGGATGGATGACGCGACCGAGCCTTAGCAGGGTCCCGCGTGATGCTCCCCGTCTCCTTGGCCCTCTGGCCCTGAGGCCCCGGAGCTGTGGCGCCCCCCCTTCTTGTTGAGGGTGACAGGCGGGAGGGTGACAGGCGGGAGGGATCACCTTGAGCGGTGTTGAGGGGAGGGGAATGGGCGGGAGATGGAACTCCACTTTGTCGTGTACGAAGCGGCCGCACCACGGACATCGTCGGCGCTGCACATATGAAAACACCAAGTTTACAAGAGGTACACACCAAGAAACGGGTAGCTGCTTATCCGAACGGTCTTTATAATTTCGAGACAATATATGAACAATTGATCATCTCATGATCACATCTGTTGAGGACTCAACATTGTTGCCGAGATCCTTGCCTCCAAGAAGCTCGGTCACTCCCCCCTGCTTGACATGTTTTGCATGTATTCTCCCCTCTACCCCCTCCCCTCCTGTATTCCTTCCGCCACCATGAGGGTTTATCCCGAGAACCCCGACAGCATCAACTGCGCCTGCAGGTTCTTCCTGCACATGCAGGTTCTTCCTGCGCCTGCAGGTTCTTACCTGCACCCGAAAGTTTTTCCTGCACCTGCTGGTCCTTACCTGCACCAGCAGTGGACAAAAATTTAGTAGAGAGTGTTCAAAGACGCGCAACAAGGATAGTTCCGGGCTTGAAAGGCAAGTCCTATGAGGAAAGATTAAAGATTATGAAGCCAAGCCTGGGGTTGGCTCTGCCGTGGCGAGAGGCTCACTGGAGGCTCTCGTGTGGGCGTGGGCCGCGTTACATTCCTGTTGAAATATCCATTTCACTAGACACATGCCTTCAGTGACATCACACTTGCGGTGCTATAAAATGACTTCAGCAATCAGCACCGATAGAATATAGTCACCACCCAGCCTCTCTAGTAAGTTACTAGTTTGCTGGCTGGAGCTAAACTTCTGAAGCCTTGTTTACAGTCACCCCGCCTAATGCCGCGTCCCTACATACAATATAGTATTTACTAGCGCTTCACTGTGTCTTCCAGCCCACTTGACTGTCTACTACCACTTCCACAAACTGCCCCCCAGAACATTATAATTGATGAAATTTGCAACGATTCCTAACGTGGATTCTTGCTGCCAAGGCGGTACATTTTAGATTACACGCAGATCCGTTCTGAACTGATTACGAGGTACGAATTTCATAATCTTGAGGGGACGCGATAAAAATGTACTAAATCCATTGGTTATGAAAAAGTGGTAATTTTAGTTCAACTACGGCATGCAGTAAATGCTAACAAGGCTATAGCAATAAGTCATAGTGGAGCCCACTTACTTGGTCAAGATGAGGAGCGTCACATTCTTGGCTATTAGCGCCTGTAGTGAAGCTCAGCTGGCTACTAATAATGATCCCTGCGTCCTACGAAAGATGCGTTTGAAGACTTCTTATCTTCAGTCGTACTCGGAGAAGCGCGGCGACTCAAAACTAACAACGGGATAGTGAGAAAGCGAAACAACTGATTCCACAGTCGTCAAAAGTTTTATTTATAAAAAGGGACAAAGGATGAAATGCATGTGCGTCGTTTAATAAATAATTACATGTAACAAATAATAATGAATAATAAATATAACTAGCTGTAAGTGAGAACTCTCAGATCGAAGATGAAGACAAGATGGTTCGGCTGGGTCAACCGTTTAGGCTACCGGCGCTTGCTAGACATGAAGTCACATTGGTATGGATGCAGGTCGCAGGAAGGTTGAATATTTCTTAGGTAGGCGAATTAGGAGTTTGCGGAGGAGCACGTTACTGATGACAGGCACGCTGTGACTCCAGCGCCTTCCCAGCGTTACGAATATTAGTACACGAACGTACGAACGTAATGTTTGTCGCGTTACGAATATTAGTACATGAACGTACGAACGTAATGTTTAGAGTATACTTGTATACTTCAATGAGGTCCCCACGCAGACGTCGATAATGGAGGCTTGGAAATTACAGTGGATTGCTGGTCCATTATCATGGATTGCTGGTCCATTACAGTGAATTGCTGGTCCATTACAATGGATTGCTGGTCCATTACAATGGATTGCTGGTCCATTACAATGGATTGCTGGACCATTACAATGGATTGCTGTTCCATTACAATGGATTGCTGGTCCATTACAATGGATTGCTGGTCCATTACAATGGATTGCTGGACCATTACAATGGATTGCTGGACCATTACAATGGATTGCTGGTCCATTATCATGGATTGCTGGTCCATTACAGTGAATTGCTGGTCCGGCGCAATGGATTGCTGGTCCATCACAATTGATTGTTGATCCATTATAATGAATTACTGGTTCATCACAATTGATTGCTGGTCCATTACAATGGATTGCTAGTCCATTACAATGAATTGCTGGTCCATTATAATGGATTGCTGGTACATTACAATTGACTGCTGGTCCGTTACAATGGATTGCTAGTCCATTACAATAGATTGCTGATCCATTATAATGGATTGCTGGACGTTACAATGGACTGCTGATCCATCACAATGGATTGCTGGTCCATAACAATGGATTGCTGGTCCTTTGCAATAGATTGTTGGCCCATTACTATTGATTGCTGGTCCATTACAATGGTTCGCTGTTTGCAATGGATTGCTGGTCCTTATGATGAGTGTTTGGCTTCCTAGTCCCCGGTCACGCTGATACGCCGCCTTTGCAGTCCTCCGTCTATGAGTGGTCGATAAGTGGGTCTCCCCCGCCCTCGCGCCCCGGATGTAACGTTGGAAATGTTCGGTCTATTTGCCCTCCTTTGAGCCAGCTGATGTAAGATGCTGTTGCTTGTCATTTAGTTTCCCATAACTGGACAATCCGGGATCTTTCTCAACCATTATTGTCCAGTCGTCTCTTAAATGTTGCAAGGGTGAACTCCCCTGCTCTCAGCACTTTTGGCAAGGCATAAAAGAGCCTCGGTCCAGCCACGGACAGTGATCCCTCATGAAGAGTCTGTACTCTGGCCGCGGCTCGGTTGTTAAATGGGAGAATCCTACACAGTCTCCCCCTCATTTCGTTGTAATATTTCACCATTCTGGAGGTCGCACTCTCATAGTTGGGAGCCAGTCCGGTTATTATCTTCTTTGTGTACAGTATAATACACCTCTCTTTTCTAATCTCCACTCTCCAGTGAGTACAGTCTCAGTTGTTTTAATCTTCCCCTGTTGTCCATCTCCAGCTCCTTCATACCGCTGATCCTCGACGTGAAGGTCCGCTGCACTGCCTCTAGTTTCCGCACCGCGTCCGCCTTGAGCGGCGCCCAAAGTTGGCAGCATTACTCAAGATTGGGGAGCACGAGGGCTCTGAAGAGTGTAATCATTGGTGCTGCTTCTCTCGTTCGAAATGTCCGCCAGATCCATCCCATCACTTGCCTACTTCGCGCAGCTATTTTCTCGATGCGGACAACGAACCTGGCTTCGGTACTCATCAACTCACCGAGATTTTGAACTTGTTGCTTCTCCTCAATTTCTGTGCCATCTGATGCCAAGTAGTAATGTGGTATCCCGGTCTCTGTGCTGAATATGTATCTCATTACTTCGAACTTGGTTCCGTTGAACAGCATATTGTTCACTAGGGCCCAATCTTTGATTGTCGACAAGCCATCCTCTAACCTCTCGCAGTCTAATTCATCTGTTATCTTCATCAGCACCCATGTATCGTTCGCAAATGACGATGTAGATGCGTGGGTAAGCTCCGAGTCGATATCGGCAATGTGGATGAGGAAGAGGATCGGTCCAAGTACTGATCCCTCTGGAACTCCGCTTTTCACCCTTACTTTTCTCGATTTCGAATTTCCAATTGCGACAGCTTGTACTCTATCTATAGGGAAGTTGTGAATCCACCTTAACAGGCTTCCTCTTACCCCCAACAGCCTCAGCTTTCTAAAGAGCACCCCATGGTCATCCATGGTAAAAGCTTTGGTAAAGTCCAGGTATACTACGTCCACGCCAGCTCCTTCCTCCAGTTGAGCCACCAGGCGGTGATGGTGCTCCAGTGCCCGTGACAAACAGGAACGATTACGTCGGAATTCATGTTGTCCATTATTATACAGCCTCTTCCAAATAGCGTCTTTATTTCCTCTTTCACTGGCGTCTTTATTTTAGCCTTGGACTGAGCGTTATTAAAAAATACTTGGGTTTCTCTCTGATGACCACAAACAATCGCTCCTCAGAAGTTTGTTCTTCCATCCTATGCGAGACCTGTAGCTTGAGTTCGAATTGCAAATATACTAGCCTCTGTCTCCTCAGTTCCGCAGTTCACTACTAAATTCAGCTATTTGTTTATTTAACCGTCTGCGTGTTCTCATGAGGATTCATCGGTCTCCCGAAAATCAGTTTTTGTCCGTCTCCCGACTTAAATGTCAGTTTTTCTAGGGGCACGACGCACACATACCTGTGCTAGTTTCTCACGTAGAGTTTTGTGTAGATTTCCCCTGTATTCATCGAATTCAATTTTTCTCTTACATAACATAACATAGAGATGTCGGCGCCGAAGTGTAGGCCTGATGTGGCCTGTCGCCAATTCTTTTACTTTTCGTGTCTTGTTCGGCAGGAGCGGCTCACTTTCTGTGTGCCTACAGCCAGCGAAGCGGACGCTTTACTTATACTCTCCACCATTGATATGCTGCTGCTATATAATCACGTACAGGGAGGTTTGAGGTCAAAGATTTCACTCGAGCCATTTTTCCCAGCTCACAGGATAGAATCTCATGAAAATTGGCAGAGACCTGTACGCATATTTTTTGTACCAAACCTTCTTGTCGTATTTCCGAAATTTCCACTCCTTTCCCCCCATAATCCCCCAAAAAGGGGGAAATTTGGGCAAAAAATGACCTAAAATGAGGTTATGGAAACGATCACAGCTCAAAAAGTTGCAAACTCAGATCAATGCGGTTTATTTCAAAAGAAAGGTAAAAAATTGGAGTGTGTTTAGGATTTCGAACGATTTTTTGTCGTGTCAATACTTCAAAATTAACCCTGAAATTTTTTTCTGCCATTTTTCGGTGGTTTTTAATTAAACTCTCACAGCCAAACCATAAGTATTTTTAGAATTCTAACGACATATACTCTAAGCGTCTCGACGAGATACACTATATGGTTAAAACAGATTTCCGAAAAAATTAAAACTCACAAAGTTGCGAGCCAAACTTTGAACAACTTTTCAACAACTTTTTCACTTTTTTCTTCACAACTCTGCGGAAAAATTTTGTAAATTGTTTCAACCACTCTAATAACAAATCACAAATCTTTGCATTTAATTTAGACCCTGTTTCACGATCTTAGCCTTTATAGAACTCGAGATATGATTTTTCAAAGAGGACAAGATTTGACCAATTTTTCGTCGAAATCGCGTAACTTCGAGAGCTTGCCTGAATGGGTTCAACGTCTTTATTCTTAAGATTATTGAGCGAGCTGCGTATTTTTGGAAGCTTTCTGAAGGATGCTATCAACAGAGGATAAAATTGCGCCAATTGCTGTGTATACTGCTTATTTTCTAAAAATTAATTCTTTAAGAAACTTGATTAAAATCAGACCAAAACTGGGAATTTTTTTCACTTTTTGAGCAATTTTTTAGGCAACCTAATTTTAACTTAATGAGATCATTCTTACATGCTTACCTGCATATGCTCTTTAGAATTAATGCGAAAGAAAAAATCTCAAAAGTTCTGTAGAAAACGGTTTTCGTGAAACATTAATATTGCTCATTGCCATGTATTTGTCCTGCGTGCGCGAACTGCATTTTTTGGCTTTTTCAAGGTCTTTTAACTCGAGCTCGGGGCCTTGACGTTCCCTCGATATCTGCCGTCGATCAAACAAGACCTCAACCAGAATTTCGCTCAAGCCGTTATTACGACGTACGATGACACCGGCGTGCAGGAGTAGGCAGCGCTCGTAAATGCGACTAGTATCTTGAGAAACTGGTACCTTAAGAAATTTTGATTGCTGCGTATTTTGCAACCATAAACCAAGTATTCTAACTTCTTGCACTGTTTACTTTGATAGAGGAAAACCGACACCTATGTTATTGAAGTTTGGAGTATTTAGGCCGGAGTTCGCATTTCCAACACGTCCAGTGAGTGTCGAAAATGCGAACTACGGCCACAATC